GATGGATGGATGGATGGATGGATGGATGGATGGATAAATGCATGGGTGGATGGGTAGATGGATGGATAGATGGGTGGATGGATGGGTGGATGGATAACAATGGATAACAGAACTTAAAAGCCAGCAGGGACTCAGAGATCCCTTATCCACACTCTGATTTTTAAAATGAGGAACCTGAAGTCTAGAGAGGTGGATAGAGTACATCATTTATCACCTCTTCTCTTTGAGAGCTTCTATTGATTTCTCTTCTCAGTTTATAAACATGTTGAATTACCCTGCAACCCAAACAAAACAAAACACCTCTTTCCCTCTTCCCCAAAGCCACTCCCCTGAGCCAGAACCTCTTTTTCTTCACTGCCAAACTTCTTGAAAGACTTGTAAACTCGCCCCTGGACTGGACTTCCCTCCCCTCACCCCTTGACCTCTCTGCCTCTGCCTTCCACCCACATTGCCATGGCAACTGCTCTGAAGTTGTCACTCACCAGAGACGTCTGAGCCCTGAGCCCTTTCTGGCACTGTCACCAGCTCTCCTTTCTGAAGAAGGCCGTCCTCTGCCCCAGGGCCACTCTCTCTTTTGTCCAGAAGCCCACTCTCTTCTTCTCCGGATGCCCTGTGCCACGGATTGAACCTCGGCCCTTTCTTTGCTCTCATTTAGCCTCTCAACAGTTATCAGGTGCTTCCTGTGTGCCAGGCACCATGCTAGACGCTCAGCTGTGTCACCTTCTGTAATCTTCATGTTGGCCCTCGACTTTGGTGTATTAGTTTCATCTGCATTTTGCATTAGTTTCATCTGCATTTTGCAGACGGTGAAGCTGAGACCCAGTGAGGATAAGTCAGTCATCTAATGCCACACAGTTGGTAAGTTGTGTCTTTGGGACTCAACCAAGGCCTTACTATTTCCAGGTTTATGTTAAGTCAACACCTTTCTGTCTCATTCATACTCAGGCCTCGCCTCTCTTCTTGGGACTTCAAAGTTAAGAATTTCAGAGGTGACCTTCCTCTGCTCTTTCAAAGGCCTGGTGAGATTGTTCTTTCTCAGATATTCCCCTAAAATCTCAAAGCCAGACTCCTCAGATCTCTTGCTGGGATAATCTTACCAGGTCTGCACTCAGACACCTGCAGTGGTTCCCGCTGCCCATTGATCTAGGGAAGACTTTTCCCAGCCACTCTCAGGCTCATCTGCTATCTGATCCCAACTCTGCACCCCTGCCCCTGCACCCCCACCCCATCTGACTCCCCACCCTGCCCCTGCACCCCCACCCCATCTGATCCCCCCCCTGCCCCTGCACCCCCACCCCATCTGATCCCCACCCTGCCCCTGCACCCCCACGCCATCTGCTATGATCTCCCCTTGTCTCCTTTGGCCTCTGACTCTGTTTTCTCAAAGAGTCTAATGCCCCCGCCGTGCTCCCTCTGCTCAGAGGGGACCTTCACTGCATGTCCTTCCTTCGGGTCCCCCTTGACCGCCGGCAATCCTCGGTATCTGGAAGACGCAGAAAATGTACTGAGCATCGATAGAGGTCACCTCTGGGTGACTGGGATCCAGGCGACTGCTATTTGCCCATCTGTTTGGTGTTTTCCAAATTCCTATAATGAGTACATTTATTTTATAATCCGTAAAGAACTTGTTCAAATAACTTCAAGAAAGAGTCATTCATCCGTCCTGCCTGCTTCCTTTTAAAGCCATTCTGTAGCATTGTTCACCTGAGCCCTCCCCAAAGGTCATGGGTGGGGCTGCCTTCCCGGCTTGAGAGCCAGGAGTTCTGTCAGTCACTGTGATTCCCCTTGTCCCCTGCAGCACCCTCCCCAGGGTCCTGGATGTACCAGGCACCCCAGAAATGCAGCAGGAACAGAGTTAAAATAGACACATTTACAAGAGTGTTCATCAAAGGAGGGAAAGACTGGAGACCCGTTGAATGTCCATCACTGGGGACCTGGTTAATAGTTCATGGTTGGCCATGGGCTTGCCTAGCGTCCGCGGAAAGGACATAATTCCCAGCTGCCGATATGGACCACTATTCAAAATATGTTATTAAATGAGAAAGAAGAGTTCCAGAAAAATATGTGCACTTCATTACATTTACACAAAAATAAAAGAATAGAGTCACATGCACATGTATGGGTACTTATATATGCATAGAATATCTTTGGAAGGATATTCCCCCAAGCTGGCAACAGTTGCCTCAGGGAAAAGATATGGAGATAGGAGCTGGATAAAAGAGATCAGAGGAGGCATAAGTGTTCTTTCTGTACCTTTAAAAAAGAAACAAACCAACAAAACAAAACGAAAGTAACTATCTTGGAGCCCACAGCTGTGAATTAAGTAGGAGGACCCTCGGGCACTCTGTGCCTCCTTCCTCTCCTTCCTGATGGGCCTCCCTGAGGGTCTGGGGGCCCAGAGCAGACACGACCACCACCACCACTCCACCCCCGCAGATGGAGCTGGACCCCACTCCAGCAAGTGCCCTGAGGTCTCCAGCCAGGAGCCTGGGCTGAGAGCTGGGAAGGGATCCCCTTGCTGGTCTGGAAGCCTGTCCCGGGGCTGGGCGGTGGGGGTGTGCAGGCAGGTCATCACAGGCCTGGTTGCCCTGGGTGCTTTGCCACACCCTCACGGGGCACCCTTCTCAGGGTGAGGAGCATCAGCTGACAGCGGGGCGTGACTCCACACCTTAGCAGCCGCTGTCCCACAGGAGGGAGAAATGTCCCTTGTGCCAGGTGTGGTGGCTGAGGATGTGGTGGAAAAGACCGTGGAGACCTGGTTCTCCGCTGCTTAGGACACCCAGGGCTTGGCTTGAGGCAAGGGCTCTGGGCTTCATTTATCTTCTCCCCACAGGGGTTCTCTCTCTGGGGGCAGGGACCAGACAGGGAGAACAGGGACCAGCAGGCTGCTGGTTTACACAAAACGTAAAAGAACAGAGTCATATGCACACGTGTGGTTGGGGAAAGTAATCATCGATGATGATATTAATTCGAATTGCTTTGGAGTCTTTTATCTGAGGACCTCAAAACACTGAAAAACTGAAATCCTATTTGCAGAGTCAAAACTTGGCTGGACCCAGAGCTCAGCCACCGAAGGTGAGGCAATCCAAACCCTTCCAGTATCATCCTTACTGCACACCTACTACCTTCCCTCCTGCAGGCCTTGGGCCTGGTTTTGTTCCCATCACCTGCCTATCAGCTACAGCCACTGAGAACCTCAAAAAGCCTTCATCGCTTGAGACCAGTTTGGCCAATGGCCAGAACAACCAGTGCTGGCCCCCAACCCTGTGAGCAGCCCACCCCACAGGTCAGACTGGCAATGTGGACACAGACAAGGAGCAATGACTTGAGGCTCATTGGACCCTGCTTCTCCTTGCTGTGGCCACTCACAGGGTAAGTCCCATCTCCCACCTGGGCCTTAGTTTTCTCATCCAATAAAAGGCCTTTGGAATTCTCCAGACATTGCAAATTATGCTAAACAAAATGCTAGCATTTTTCTGGGGAGCTTTAGTGGCTTTTGCCAATGCTCAATTCAAACATAATTTCCAAAATGCATTTTAAACTGCTTGAAAATTTGTAATCAGCATCAACATGCACATTTAGAAGCAATACGTGACTTTCACACATTGAAGCCCACTTGCCTTCACTCTGCTTTTATAAATAACACAGTAGCATATTGGTAGCTTGAACTTAGAAAATAAACATAAACTAACAGAGCTCAGCTTTTATCAGCTGTACACACCGGGTCCCCATGCCCTGTCAAATTCTGTTTTGGAAAGCGGGTCCTGCTTCTAAAAAGGTCTGACGGGCACTGGGCTCAGTCACCAGAGAGAAATGAGGAAAAGGGATGTGACCAGTGCTTTTCTGCCGAATGACGTGTGTGTCCAGCAGCTATGTTGGGGGACAGGGCGGGGGTTTCAGCAGACCTCGGAACGACCTGAGATCTGAGCCCTCATCTGAGCAGTGCTTCTGGTCGGCAGCCGTTTGTAGAGCCAGCTCTGGAAGTCACTGGCACGCGACACGTGTCGTACAGTTCTCACCACGTGGTGTTGGGCACCATGCCGCCTCCTCCTCCACACGAGTGCACGGTTCCATGTGCCTACATAAGGGAGTCTAGACTCATCTCACAGGTGAGGAAACTAAAACAGAGGCGGTTTGACGCCCCTCAAGTCCCACAGCTAGTGAGGGGCCGTGCTGGGAGTCAGACCCCACTCAGGAGTGGAGCCTAGAGATCTGCACTTTTGCTGAGACCCTGGTGACTGGGCTGATTCTGATGTGGGTGGCCCGCAGAGAGGTACTCCACTGGCTTGCATGGGGTTCCTGGTACTGGGGTGCTGGGCTGAGCTGCACATGGTTCTGACCAGCAGAGGCCTTCTCGTGGGCGCCTGCTTTTCACCGGCTTTTTAGCCATGAGGTGGCTCTGGTGGGACGGTGTTGTGAGGGCTCCCTGGCGCCTGGCGCAGGCCGGCCTCTGCCCATTCCTTTCCTTCCATTTCCCCATCGTCAGAGTGTGTGTGTGTGTGTGTGTGTGTGTGTGTGTGTGTGTGTGTGTGTGTGGCTGGACTTGATGACACTGAGGTGCCTTTCCCACTCTGACATCCCTGCAGTCGGTCACCAGCCCGGGGGACCTGGGAGAGGTCAGGTGTCACTGTGGTTAAGAGTCTTGCCCCTATCAGATGGCTAGAGTCGAGGGGTCCGGCTTCATCGGTCTGCTGGGCTCCAGGTCCTTACAGTCAGTCTTAGCTTCCAAGCAGTGGCATCTCCAAGGGCCAGGGAGGTCGTGGGAGGGGTCCCCCTGGGCCCATGAAGGGGACATATTTTCTGCAGAAGAGTTAAAAACAATGATAAAACCAACGAAAAGTAATGCACAGGAATTCAAAACAACGTCTGTCATGAGACACTTTCTGCTGAGCAGGGGGCTGCGCTCACGGCCCCCACCTCGGTGGTGCCCACTGCCAGTCTGTCGCTCGGTTACATGAGCGCCTGCCACACAGTGAGGTTTCTCGGAAGAAGGGGATGAAAGTACCTTGGTTAGGGGGAGGTCCACGCTGACGTGGTCCCCATCCGGTCACACCAGCTGTGACAAAGGAACCCAAGGGAACGTGGTCTGGGTGACTGCAGAGCTCATTTACCTCAGGCTAAAAATAGGCGCCTTCTCCGCAGCAGGTGGGTGACTCAGCAAGCTCCTGGGTGGGGAAACGTGATGCTCTCAGCCCCGGTTTACCTCGTGCGCCAGGATGACGGGAAGAGCCTGTGAACGGGGAGAGAAGCACAGTGGGCGTTTCACGAGGCTTCCTGGACACGCTGACTTTCCCTTGGCTCCCCGCCCCTCCCCTCAACTCACTTTTCAAAAGCCATGGAATTGCTGGTCCAGGCCAAATGAGAGCCACAAATCCAGCTGTCCAGACTCTAGAGAGCATTCTCTCAGGGTTTAAAGGGCAAGGCTAGCGAGATGGGTGTGTGTGTGTGAGTGCGATGTGCTCATGCATGCCTCTGTGGTGTGCACACACCCTCGGGTCCACACCTGGCTGGTGGGAAAACAAACAGGCCACACCGTGGCCACACACAGGGGTTTGCCTTTGTCTCTGACTCCCAACCCACCGCCTGCCCTCATGCAATGGAACCACAGGAGGTTGTCCTGCGGGTGTGCTAGTCGCTCTCTGCGACGCTCTGTGCCCAGGGAAATGAAAGGTGCTCCCTTCTCCTCGCCCCGGACTCTGCAGCAAGCGAGCACAGCCCTGACCCTCTAGACTCTTCCCCAGAGGCCCCAGCGGAAGCTGAGGCGCGAGGCAGTTATTTGGAGAATTCAGCCCCCCCTCAGGCAGCTGTCTGAGCAGACCCGTGTTACAGGGGACCTGTTTCTGACCCTGGCTCTGCCGCTCGCTTGCTGTGTGACAGTGAGCGAGTCCCTTCTCTCTGGTCTACATTTCTCCTCTCTTTGTCATTGTTTATTTCTTCAACAAATGTGTACCACATGGGGCCAGGCACCTGGGCGTGCCATGCTAGTCCATGGAAAGGACCACTCTGGAGGATTAAAAAGGCCCGGGAAGTCTTGCCCCTCCCCCTATCAAAGACTGTCCGCGTTTCTTCATCCCTGGACTCTGAGATGACCTTGTAACTTGCTTGGACTGAAGATGGCCTGTGACTTTCACTCTTCTCCCTCTTAGAGCCCAGCTGCCACATGAGGAAGCCCGAGCTACCCTGTGGGAGAGACCACAAGGAGAACTGAGGCGCCCTGACCGACAGCCTCAGCCAGCTGCCAGTCCTGGGGGTGAGGCCACGTGGAGCCCCCAGCACCTGGCCCCGGGCTCGCTGACCGCAGGTGCTAGAGCGAGCCCCGCCCAAACCGCCTGGAGGAGTTTGCCCTCACGGAGTCTGCAGTCCAGGGGGGAGCCCAGCACGAAGCAAACACAGAAATAAACACCCAGCCCCAAGTGGTGATAAGTACTACGAAGAAAATGGGTGTTATATTTAGTCACAGGGAAGCCCATGAGTCAGGGAAGGCCTCGGCCGAGTGCTGAGGATGGAAGGTGGGGTGCTGAGTGAGACGGGGGTACCTACAGGGTTTGCAGTGGGGCCGTGGTTCTAGCTTCACTCGGCATACATCACTCGGCATATGTTACTCGGCTCCTCGGTGGCTTCATGAGAAATGCATAGTCCTTGCCTCGCTCCCCACCAGTTCAGATCTGGTGGGTCTGCTTGGCTTGGGGCCTGCTAATCTTTTTTATTTATTTACTTTTCTATGTGCCCCCTGGGTGATTTTTTCTTTCTTCTTTTAAATTGTATTTTATTGATTATGCTATTACAGTTTTCTCTTTTCTTTTTTCGATTATATTTTATTGATTCATGGGTGATTTTTATCATACAGGAAATTGGAAAAACACAGTTCAGTAGAGTCAGCTGAGGAGATTTAAAAAGATAGCCACTCCGCTGCTGCCCTGAGATGAACACTCGGGTGGTCTGAGGCGAGCCCAGGGAACTTCTAGAATCCTCGGGTGATTCTAATGTGCAGCCGAGGCTGAGAGCTGATTCTAGAAGATTCTCCAAGGTCCCAGACTTTTCTACAGATCTCTTTTGAGATGCCAGGGCTACCTGGTGCTTACGGAACCACCTCTTTAGTGATTTAATACTCTGGGGGCATGCAGCCAGACTGACCTGAGGTGCACCTGTGCTCAGAGACTGGCCCTTGATTGCGTGGACACCCCCTCCCTCACCTCACAGACTCTCTCCCGGATGACTTTCCCAGGGGCCTCACAGGGGCTCCCCAAGGCTCCCAAGTCCCCTGTAACTTCTGTTTGTTTTAGAGTAGAACATGCCTTTAACTGGGGAGAGAAAAGGGCTACCATCACCAACACTGGCCCTCCTCTAGGGCCATGCCAGTCAGCCCCTCTGTTTTATTCCCTTTTCCTGTCTTCCCAGCTCAGGGGCCTCTGGGGCATAGGTTCCCCTCACTCCCGAGGATGACGGCATCAGTGACGTGGCCTTAGAAGCGTGTCGGTGCATGGCCGTTTCTTGTCTGGGCTGTGCTTCTTCCAAATAAGGCAGGAGGGCCACGGGGGGTTGCTCCTGAGTCTGCTTGATTGAGGCCAGAGAGTACAGAAGAATCCACTCTTGGCGTGGAGCCTGCCACCTTGGGCCAAAGGAAGCTCGCCGGAGGTGAGGGCAGAGAGAGAGAGAGAGACAGAGAAAGTGGCGCTGGCCCAGAACAGCTACAGCCCCCTGGGGGGACAGTGAGACACGGGCCAGCCGCATGCCGAGGGGGCACTGACACAGGTGTGCGCTCCGCCACCCAGAGCCTCGTTTCCTTGTTCTAAAGTGTGGTTAGTGTTCTCCATCGGACAGGTTGTTGTGAGAACTCAGAGTTCACCACAGGACCTGCGGCACAGCAGGCACTTGCTGAAGTTTTCATTTTTCTTCTTTGGGACAGGCACAGAAATGAACTTGACACTGTGGAGAGAGACAGGGCCTTTGGGGAGAGACCCAGTGGGAAAGCCCTTCTTTGGGGGCTGAAAGACTCCAGGCACTGTGGTTCAGCCCCAGAGGCCCCGGATCTCTCAAAGGCCCCCAGGAGCAGAGCCCTGCCCACCTCTCCCCCCACACCGAGGGCTCTGTGAATGGTTCTTGGGCACGGCCTGCACTGTACGTGGTACAGGTGGCACTGCCAGAGGAGGGGCTGGCAGAGGGAGGGGTCTGACCACTGAGGAAGGAATGAAGAGAATGAATGAGGCGCTGAGTTGTTCTCAGCTCCTGCCCTGAGAAGGAAAGGACTTGTTTCGGGGTGTGGCTGGGAGGAAGCCGGGCCAGAGGGCACAGTGAGAAATAACAAGGGTCCTCTGCAACTTCTTGGCTCAGGGATAAATGGTTCTCGTAAGGGGCTAGTTTTAAAAAATAATTCTATTTGGGGGGGTGTCTCTTCTTTCTTCTGATCCATCCTTCCAACCAAAAGCCATAGTGAGAGGCCCCCAAGGCCACCTTAGTTAGGAAGCCTTTCCTGAGCTCTGGGCTAAGTCCAGCGGTGGACGCTGTCCCATAGGAGACAGGGCTGACCAGGGATTTCTGGGCCTTGGGCTGGGCCAGTGTTTGCCATTGTGCCTTGTTCTCTCTACCCACACCCGCCACCCCTTCACCTAGTCCAGGAAGGACTCTCTCCAGGACTTTTTCTATATCGCACAAATAATTCTAAACAGTACAAAGACATCTGTGGGCAGGCAGTGGGCGGCCCTGGGCATCTATTTGTGTGCATTCATTTGCATGGCATAAGCAGGCCCCTAGGGAGGAAGTTTCGTGAGACTTTAGGGGTGGGGATGGGAGAGAAGCAAGAGGCCCCAGGCTGACCTTCTATATCACTAGAATTTTGGTTCCAAGCGAAAGAAAACCCAACTATTTTTTAATGCAAAATCAGAATGTGTTGGCCTTGGAACTGAAGTCCAAGGGGGTGGCCACCTTTAGACAAGGCTTGATCAGGGACTCTAAACAAGTCAACAAGACTTGGTGCTCCTTGTTGTCTTTTGGTTTGGTCCTTCACTGGGTAACAGCTTTAATACAGGCAGATTCTACCCCATGGAGGCAAAATAGCTGCAGAATCTCTGAGCCTCATGCCCTCTCAGTGGGGCAAAGAACCAGTCCGCTTTTCTGATACCTCAAAGTTCTGGAACTCAGTTTCATGGGCTCTGATTGGCCCAATTTTGGTCAATGACCAAACATCCCTTAACCAAGGACTGTGGCCATGGGGATAGAGTAGAGTAATGGGGGTTTAGGGGAGTATCACAGTCTCCATCCCATATCTGGGTATCTGGGTGTGTGGAACAGGGACATTATAGGGAGCTTGGTTATGGGGGTAATGGGGATAATTCCACTGGAATCATACAAATGGAGTTGAGCATGTTACTATAATTGAGTGAATGGGGACAGGCTACCAAAAAGCAGACTCCTTGTTTCCTTTCTAAAGAAGGCTGCAGGGAAAAGCTCAGAGGCTTCTTTGGGCCTTGGGTTGTAAATCGAGACATAAGTTAGACAAGCCTTCTGGCCATTTTGGCTCAGAGCACAGAACCTTTTTCCTATGGTCGGAGGACCTGCCGCTGGATCCAGCGCTGGAGGTGCAGCCTGAGTGGAGAAGCCGGGACCTCGAGGAGTGCGTGGGCAGTGAGAAATGAGGTCCCTACCGACCTCAGCGGATGTCAGCAAGGAGCTGGAGCAGAAGAAATATCTACAGACTGATCTTGGGAACCTTTGAGACATCCAAGGGACTTCCAGGGATGACTAGGGTCGGGGTACGGTGAGTCCACTGAGGTCTCCTATTGGAAAGAAGGTACCTGGTACCCTTGCTGACTATGATGGAAATAACTTCAGACTCGGGGAGGGCGGTCAAAGGATTTGGACTATGGTCATTGGCAGACTACTTGTTTGCTAAATAAACTTGGACAAGTACCTCTCCCTTTCTGGACCTCAGTTTACTCCTCTGTGAAATGGGAGTGATAGCATTCACCCCCAAGAGCTGATGGGGGAATCAGGAGAGCCCGGCAGATGGAATGGGAAGAGGCTAAAGTGCTGTCCCCACCGAGTCAGGCCGGGTAAGGCCTCCTCATCCTGGCTGCTGGAGACCTGATGGAGCCCTGCATCTGAGCCCAGGGGCATTCACTTCAGAAGGAAAAGCATAAAGGGGAACAGTGTGCCCAGTGGAAGTTGGTGGACACAAAAACCCTCGGGGCAAGGCTGCAAGCCAGGGCTCTGGGTGGTTCTCTGAGACACTCC